TATATATATATATATATATATATATATATATATATATATTATATATATCATATAAAAAATTAGGTGAATAATAGAAAAAGTGCTCGAGCACAGCTTTATCATTTACCTGTATTTATATCTGTGCATAGCAGAAAATTATGATTTAGATATATATTATTTATAAATATTTGATATGCACTTATAATAACATTTTTGGGTGCTATTAAAATAACTTAGAACATACCTTCACGTTCACTGGATAACTAATGTAGAAGATGACAAGAGTAGCTATCTGCCAAATAAACATGCTGACGCCTACCAAGAAAAGAGTTGCCCAAATCGCTCGGCTAAATAGGGTCGTAGATTTGAAGACATGCGGTAAGCCATGGGTACTGCTGACATTTTTTGCAAACGATCCCAGCAGGGCAGGAACAGACTCCCGATCATACAATTCATCTTCAGACTGAATTACCAGAGGGAACTTGGTAGTGTCTGTTTTTTTAAACGGCTCGGATAATTTTACATTTGTCGTACTTGCTGGAGACGCCCTCACCCAGAAGATACTGTCTGTTTTGTCACCCATAATGGGCTTTCTGTAAACAAACACATTTATCTATAGTACACAATTTCCTTCCTAATGAAAGTTACTTTGCCATACCGAAACCTACACCACATAGTAGGCCTATGGATGGACATTGCAGTAAGAGCAATTGAATGTGACCACGTGATCATATCGCAGGGACAAAATGCTTAAATGTAATTCCTCATCGAATATAATTTAGAACAAAATCCAGAAGGAGAGTCTTCACACAAACCTTAACACTGAAATAACCCTCAAGAGAAAGTGTTACGATTTATTGTTTTCTGAATAAATGATTAAAAATTATGCACATACATACCCCAAACCTTAACATCGGCACTGGCTTAACATTCCGGCTGTTTACTTACGTTTACTTCTTAGCTGTTGCTTATAAAATTTATATCTGTACCAAGACCCAGTCATCGTTTCCCATAGCATTGTTGTTTTTCAGTATTTTGCCTATA